ACACACACACACACACACACACACACACACACACACACACACACACACAGAGGGGTGTAGAATAGTGACAACTTATTTCTCGTGAGAAACTATACAAGCAAGAAAGTCACTGAGTAATTTTTTTCTTCTTTTTTTTTCTTTTTGAGCAATATTTTTAAAGTAGTACAAAATGATAAAGTTGCCAACATATACGTTTATATCTAACAAAATATCTTTAAACAACTAAGGTGTAACAAAGAGTATCTTAGCCAGGAGTAATGGTGCACACCTTTAATGCCAGTATTTGGAAGGCAGAGACAGGCAGATCTCTGTAAGTCTGAGGCCAGCCTGGTCTACATAGTGAGCTCCAGGACAGCCAGAGCTACACAGTGAGACCCCTGTAAAGTATCTTAATACTGATTATTTTTTTTAAATCTTATTTTATGCTAATGAATGTTAATGTATGTTAGTATGTATGCAGTGCCCATGGAGACTAGAAAGAAGGCACTGGATTCCCTAGAACTGGAGTTATGGATGGTTGTGAGTCATCATGTGGTGCTAGGAACCAAATCCAGAGCCTGTACAAGAGCAGCAAGTGCTCTTAACTGCCAAGACATTTCCCCAATCCCGGGTTTTTTGTTTGTTTTTAAGACAGGGTTTGTAGCCTATGCTGGCCTGGAACTTACTGAATAGCCCAAGTTGGTCTCAAACTCTTGAACCTTCTGCCTCATAGCCTCTCATGTGTTGGGAATGTAGGTAGTTGTGTGCTAGCACACTGAGTCTGCTTGCCCACTTGCCCGCTTGCCTGCTTGCTTGATTACAGAGCTGTGGACTGAACTCTGGGCCTCACAGATGCTAGACAAGAGCTCTAACCCTGAACAATACAACCATCCCCTAAACATAGTTTCGAATAAACTATCCTGAGACTTGTACTATGGGAAAAACTAAAGGATGTTCTTTGGGCTAAAAGGAAATAATATCGGAGAGTATATTGGTTAGTTTTTATTGTCAATGTGGCACACACTTAGAAGCACCTGAGAAGACAGACTCTCAGCTGAGGAACTGTCTCCATCAGATTGGCCTGTGGCATGTCTGGGGCGGGGCAGGAGGTGCAGTTTGATTGCTGATAGGTGGGCCCAGCCCATGGTGGGCAGAGCCTCCCCTAAGCAGGTGCTCTGGGATAAATAAGAAAGCTGGCTTGAGCATGAACATGTCCCAGAGAAACGAAACCAGTGAGTTGTATTTCTCTATGGTCTCTGCATTCCTGAGTGATGGACTGTAACCTCTAAGCCAAATAAACCTTTCCTTTCCCAGGCTGATTTTGAGTACAATGTGTTTGCAGCAGCAGATCGATAGCCAGGACAGACAGAAATCTGGATCTTCAGAAATGTATAGTATGAAAAAATGATATACATGTGAGCAAATTTACAAGGCTACAGTTATCCCTCTGTATTGGTGTGGGATTCATTGTCCTGTGGATACCGAACTCCACAGAGGTTCAAACCCCTCCATAAAAGGCTTGGTCTTTGTATATGACTTGTACTGTATACAGAAGAGCCCGTCTGCCTCTAGATTCTTTATGACACTAATGCAAAGGCTCTGTATCGGTTGCTTCTGTACAGCTTGGGAACTAAAAACAGGGCCTCAGCCGGGTGGTGGAGGCGCATGCCTGGCGACAGCTTTGTTGAGCACTAATAGGTTTGAAAATTCACTGTGTTTTTATTTACTTGTCCTGCTTTTGATGCGGGCTCACACTCCGTAGCTCAGGCTGATCACTCATTTCTTAACTTACTCAGGCCAGTCTAAACACGAAGCAACTCTCCATCCTCAACCTCCCAAGTCCTGGGATTACAGCCATGAACCACCGTGTCATTTTAGATGTTATTAATTTTGCCCATGAAAAGGGAAGCATTCCGAGCAGTGGTGGCACACACCTTTAATCCCAGAACTCTGCAGGCAGAGGCAGATGGATCTCTGTGAGTTGTAGGCCAGCCTGGTCTAGAGAGTGAGTTCTAGGACATCTTGGGCTACATAGAGAAACCCTGCCTCAAAAAAACAAAGAAGAGAGAAATGAAAGACCTGGGCCTGCTGGCAGAGGTGTACAGTCCCTGCTACTCAAGGAGCTGATGCAGGAAGGTCACAAACGTGGGTTACCTGAGCACTTTAATCGGATCCCGGGAGGGGCTGGAGAGACTCGCTGCTCTTCCAGAGGACCCAAGCTCAGTTCGAAGTACCCGTGTTTGGTGGCTCACAACTGACTGTAACTCCATCTCCAGGACATATATGATGTCCTCTTCTGGCCTCCAAGCCCCACTTCCCCCACATACACATGGTATACACTCACACACATATACACAAAAATAAAATTAAATCTTAATAAAAAAGATGGCTAGGGATGTAGCTCCCTGGCAAGAGTCTTTGTTTAGCATATACAAGGCTCTGGATTTGATCCCCAGTAACCAGAAAAAAACAAATCATGATTTTAAAAAATCAGTACACTGCCGGCAGTGGTGGCGCATGCCTTTAATCTCAGCAATCTCAGCACTTGGGAGGCAGAGGCAGGTGGACAGCCAGGGCTACACAGAGAAAACCTGTCTCAAAACACACACACACACACACACACACACACACACAAATCAGTACATGATCAATATGGAGAACAGGGAGTCTGTCTGTCTGTCTGTCTGTCTGTCTCTTTTTCTTGTTTCTTTGTTTCTTTCTTTGTTCTCCCTCCCCCTCCCTCAACCCCCCTCTCTCTCTTCAAACAAATGTTTCTTTATGTAGCCTGGCTGTGTTGGACCTCACTCTGTAGACCAGGCTGGCCTCAAACTCATAGCTCCACCTGCCTCCACCTTTCAAATTCTGGGATTAAAGTCGGTTTTCAAACCCGGTTCAAACCAGAGTTTTTCAAACCACAGCTACAGAATGTGTTTAAATATGTATCTTTTTTTTTTTTTAAGCCAACTGACTTTAAAGTGATGATGATGGAGATGGTGGTGGTAGTGATGATGATGGTGATGGTGGTACTGGCCTGAGGATGCAGTTTAATAATAGGTCACTTGCTAACGCATGCTGCTCAGTGCCCTGGACTCAATTCTCAGCACTGTCGAAAACGTGCTGTGAGCTTTTGACAATGGTAGAAGTAGAACGCAGAGCAGAGATAGCACAAGAAGATGAAAACGAACCACACACATTTAACACACAATCAATGAGCTGAACAGCTGACTCTGAAAAATGCAGGGTCCGTGTTATAGACAAGAGACAGTGTCACAACGCTGGTGTGGCTACTTCAATAGCAAGCAACGCAGACCTCAAGATGAGTATCCTAGAGATATAAACGTAGAGGCAAAGGCAACACGAAAACCCTAAACGTGTATCTGCTTAACAACAAAGACTCAAAACACAGAGAGCAAAAATCGGCTACATTACAGACAGGCAATTCTACATTCAGAGATGGAGAATGAGAAAGAAAAATACAGAGTCAAAGAGGTAGAAAGAAACAGATACGGAGCCACAGGCAGACAGACTGACGGAAGGGATGGACAAAGGCTCCCAGCAGTGTGGAGCAGCGACAGAAGGGAGCTGTCCTGAGTCACATATGAAGCGTGGGGTGTTCCAGACTCAGGAACACGGGCTGCTGAGGTCTTGGAGGGATGGGTGTGGGGGGTGGGTACATCACTTACCGGAAACCCCATAAAACCCTGGGGGCCAGGTTCCCCAGGCAGGCCCTGTATCAGAGGAGGGAAAAGAATGGAGTCAGCTGGTGAGGGCTGTCATCTGGGGTCCCTGGACTCCCCGGAATCCCCCTGTGAGGTGATCTGTCTACTCACTCTCTCTCCTTTCTCTCCCGGGTGGCCAGAGGTTCCTTTGGGTCCAGAAGGGCCTGGGGTTCCCTGAACAATAAGACAGAGCCTCAGTCTTGTGCTGCGTTAGGCAGGACAGTGTAGACAGGGGATGGGGACCAAGGAAGCGGTGAGGGAGGCTCAACATGGGCCAGGCATCACCATGTGTCCAGCACACAGCGAGCAGGTCACACAGCATGCAGGTCACACAGCATGCAGGTCACACAGCATGCAGGTCAGGCTGTTAAAGAGCTTTGGAGTCAGCCGTCCTCACCCCGTGTGCTGGCGGCAGCCTGAAGAATTCCCCCCTTTACTTGGCCTCAAGGGGTAATAACACTTCTTGTTGGGTGAACTGAGTTAAGAAGATTTATGGGGAGTACTTTGCATATCAAAGTACTGACTCAACGCATGGCTGAGCAGATGGGTGAATAGAGTTAGCATGGGTGGAGGAACTTGGATAATGACTTACCATGTGTCCAGGACTCCCAGGGGCACCCGCGGGGCCAGGAAGTCCAGGAGGACCTGAATAAAACAGGGCCACAAGGCTAAGAAGTTTCCCATCAACTGTCTCCTAATAGCTCAGTCCCCCCACCCCCCATGATTGCTTCCTACCATCCGCTTCCCTTATCCCAGACCTGGACTCAACTTACCCATGGGCCCTGGGGGGCCAGGAGGACCTGGGGGCCCAGTGGGTCCTTGGGGCCAGTGGCTGCCTGTATCAGTGAAGGTATTAGACAGCAGTGGATCTCCTGGGAAGGGAAAGATAGTGTGTCGAGCTGGGGGAGTGGGGCAGTCGGACATCACCTGCCACCTCTGCCACACTGGCTCTGATAGTCCTGCAGGGACAGCCTGCCACACAGACAGGGCCATCAGCGCATGGTGCCAGGTACAGAGAGGAAGGGAGAGCTGCATTCTAATTCTGCCACAGTCTAACTGGTTGCACCCAGAATGGCTCCCTCCTCTGCTGACCCTGTTCTGTGACCTGCTGAGAGGGATAATAGTGAGAACTGCCTTTTACTAACTGTCTACTTGTCTCAGGCTTTTTGCATTGAGGATCGTAGAGCCCAAGAGCCTGGCACTGTTGCCATCCGTACAATAGCAACAAGGACACTGAGGCTTGGTGCAAAAATAAAATAAATAAAAAGAATGGTGTCGGAATAAATGATGGAAAGAGAGAATGAATGAAGGACCGGGACCCAGTTATTCACCAAACATCAGAACGGATGGGGTTGAAACTCTAGCAGCATGTGGGCTTCCTGAGGGAGATGCCTGGGATCCACTTGGTGCTTAGCTGGGGGAAGGAACTGGAGCCTCGCTAAGCAACAGGGCCAGGGCTGTGGCCTTGGGAGCTCTGAGCTCAGTCTTGAGGTTAAGCCTTGAGCTTCCCAGCACTCTGAGGGCTGGACTGCAGCCAGCTCTGAGGCTTGGGGAGGACCTAATGCCAGGTGGTTCTGAGCATGTGGGTCTGAAGCTACTCCCCCTCTCCCCAGTGTGTGGGCGGGGCACGTGACCTTCCTCTCCAGCCTCGGGGGTCCTTCCTCTGTGAACAGACAGTAGCAGCACCTGCTGAACAGCTGGGTGACAACTGGGCAAGCTGGGCACACACCTGACACCTGACAGATGGCTTCATTCGCTCCGCCTCAAACCACTGGGATTCAAGGGGGACTTACCATGCAGGGAAACCTGGGTATGGGGTGGTCCGACAGGAGCTGGAGGCCCTGGGGGCCCAGGTGGACCTGGAGGGCCTGGAGGTCCCATCTTTCCAGGGATGCCTGCAGCTCCCGTCTGGCCAGGGCGTCCTGGGGGTCCCTGTGGGCCTGCAGTAAGAACAGGGACTGGTGGGCATATGGGGGGTAGGGGACAAGGACATGTGAGGCAATGGATACAAACGCTCCGAAGTGCACAGGCCTGTCCTCTTGGCCATTTGTGACAGGGAAGAATACAGGACTGTGCCTTCCATCTTTACCAAGCTGTTCTGACTTCCTTCTAGAGGGCTCCCAGACCTCCCAGTTCCTCCACAGAACTCTGGTCAGAGGGGTTAGGCATTGATGTTTCTTGCCCGCCTAGCTATCCCCCATCTTAGAGGCAGACTAGCTTCACCCCACCCAGTGCCTAGCTCAGGGTCTGCTGAGAGAAGTACATGAGTCAAGCGGATCGAGCTATTCTCATAGTCCAGGCAGGAACAGGCACACGGGAGGGCTAGTGAGCAGAGAGGCCAGATGTGTGGACGGGGCTGTCCACCTTGACTCTGCCAATTTGGGGAAGGCATCCTCTGAGTCCCTAGGCAGGAGGGATCCCTACAGAAGCTGGAGAGAGCCAGTTGGGGGTTGTGATGCACACCCTTAATCCTACCACTTGGGAAGCTGAGAAAGGTGGATCTCTATGAGCTCAAGGCCAGCCTGCTCTACATAGCAAGCTCCAGGCCAGCCAAGGCTACATAGTGAGACCCTGTCTCAAACAAAACAACCAAGCGATACAATACAGAAAAGCAGCTTAGGAGCCTGCCTGTGGGTACTCACCTGGTGGGCCTCTGATCCTCACTGGGCTCTGGCTGACAGCGTCTCCCTTGGGGACAGTGGGCCCAGGAAGCTCCAAAGGATCAACTCTGTCTGCAGAGTAAAGAAGATGAACTTGGTCTCTATGGGTTTCATTTGAGCTCCATCCTGTCCTGGTCCCCCAGCCCATACTCTCTTGAAGTAGCTGTGCACCCCCTCACATTCCCACTAGCTCCTAGCAAACTCTGAGTGAGGGGTTAGACAGAGGTCAGCATCCTCGCTGGACTTGGGAGGGAAGATCCCAGAGTTCCCTCCCTGAACTAAAACTGCTGGATTCCCTCCAGCTGAGTCCACTAGAGAGCTGGGAAGACCGAGGCCTCCCCTGGGGGTCAGGTGAGGCATTTCTTCCAACTAAAGTATCTCATGGGGTATGTACCCTGCTGTACCCCTTACCCTGCAGGCTTCCATCTCCAGGACTGCCCTGGGCAGCTGGGGAGCCCCAGAGCAGGGCAGAGTCCTCAGGGGTAGCTGGGACTGAGGACACTGTCTGCTCTGTCACACTTAGCACCGCCACCTGTGGAGGAAGAGGAAGACAGAGATGGGACAGACACCAGGAGCTCACTAGGGACAGTCCAGGCAGGAGGCGTTGGCCCTGGGGGTCCAGAGGCCCAAGGAGTCAGCAGAATCCAGCTGTGAGTGGAGACCTGAGCTTACAGGGACCCAGAATGTCACCAGAAGTGACCTTTTCAAGACAGACAGTTCATAATATGCACCGTGGAGCGGCCAGACATTCTGCAATGCCACTGCCACCCAAGTTGAGCTCTGTGATCATGGGATCTGCTGGTCACAATTGTATGTTGCTGCTGCTGCTGGCAAAGTTCCATGGGGTGGGAGGGTGGGTGGGGCTGGGAGAACCTGTGTGTGTGTGTGTGTGTGTATGTGTGTGTGTGTGTCTCTATTGTGTTTGCAAGTGTGTCTGTGTCTATGTATATGTGCCTATGTGTGTGTGTCTATGTAATCTGTATCTGTGCGTCTATGTGTGTGTGTCTATGTATGTGTGTTTATGTATGTGAGTGTGTGTGTCTAAGTAATGTGTGTTCGTGCATCTATATGGGTGTCTATGTGTGTATGTGTTTATGTGAGTGTGAGTCTATGTGTGTTCAAGTGTATGTGTCTATGTGTGTCAAAGTGTGTGTCTATGTGTGTCAGAGTGTATGAGTGTGTGTCTATGTGTGTGAGAGTGTATGTGTCTATTGTGTCTGAGTGTGAGTGTGTATATGTGTGTGTCTATGTGTCAAAGTGTGTGAGTGTGTGTCTATGTGTATCAGAGTGTGTGTGTCTATGTGTGTGTATATGTGTGTACACGCTGAAGGTTAAACACATTGCTTCCTGTATTTAAGTGCTATACCACTGAGAATTTGCAGGGAAAACAGAGAGTCTGACACCTAAACCCACACAGGACCAAGGACGAAGAAGATTCTGCGAGTACTTTGAGCTCTGACCAATGGTCAGGAAAAGGAAATATGGCCACTGACAGTGGTCTGTCCTCACAGCAGATGGTTTGTAATTATATAACCGCTCCTTCGGGGATTTGGCCTCCAGATTTCACCATGACAGTTAACACTTGACTAAACTTCCTCACATCTGATCAGGTCAAGTTCCCAGAGGAAGGAATAGCAGAGCAAAGAGACAGTGTCTATCCACGCATGCTCAGAAACCTGGAGAAAAAAAGATTAAAAGAGACGCGCTTAGGGGCAGTTAGAGATGGCCCAGCAGGCAAAGCTTCTACAGGCAAGACTAACAACTTGAGTTCAATTCCTGGAACCCACACAGTAAAAGAGATGAACACCCCAAACTGTCCTTTAACCTCCACACATACACTTTACTCTCACATGCCACCAAACACAAATAAATAAGCATGATTTTTTTTTTTAAAAAAAATGGTGATATCTCATGGCTGTAATCCCAGTTACTCAGGATGCTGAGACAGGAGGATCTAGAGTTCAAGACCAGCCTGGACTACACAGAAATACAACATTTAAAGAGAAAAGAGAAGGGAGAGTTTTATACTCAGTTGGTGAAGTCGCTTGCCCAGCTTGCAGGAAGCCTGGGCTTGATCCTAGCACCACGGAAACTAAACGCGGTGCTATCCACTGTGATCCTAGCACCACGGAAACCAGATGCAGTGCTATCCACTGTGAGCCTAGTACCACGGAAACCAGATGCAGTGCTATCCACTGTGAGCCTAGTACCACGGAAACCAGACTCGGTGCTATCCACTGTGAGCCTAGCAAGAAGCTGGTGCAGGCAGAAAGTCATCCTCAGCTATGCAGCCAGTTTGAAGCCAGCCTGAGATACATGAGACCCTCTCAACAAACAGGGACAGCGAGATGACTCAGTGGGCAGAGATCCTGCCACTGAACCTGATGACTGGAGCTTGGATGAGGAGAGGCCCTCCATGTACAACAGACAAACAAAGGCTTTAAAAAGATAGGTGGGTCTCAGTTAGGGACGGTCTGGTCTATATAGTGAGTCTACATAGTGAGTGTCAGGCCAGCCTGGGCTACACAGTGAGACCCTGTCTCAAAAGCTGCCAGTTTCCTCTCTGAGGCACAGGTAGTCTCTGTAATCGATTTTCTGGGTTTCTGGGGTTTTTCTGATTCTACATTCGGAATCTCATATACTGTCGTATTTTGTAATTTTAAAAACCTTTTTGCCTTGAGATAACTCGAGATGTGTAATGGACGTTTTCGTTTTGCAAACTGGAAGATGGAATGGAGGGGCAGGATAAAGACATAGGGAGGAGGTGGCCAAGGTGGCCTTTGCTCTTGGGGATATGTTATAGGTATCTCACTGAGACTGGCCTCATGGGAGGGGGGGGCTTTATGGTCTACTGGAGGGATGATGTACTGGGGGATGGTGTACTGGAGGATGGTGTACTGGGGGGATGGTGTACT